TGTTTGTAAGGACTGTATCTGAATGATTGTTTTCATTCTGTAACTACTACACACGCACCCAGAGCGTGGGACTAGCACATTTTAGACACCAGAAGAATAAAGAGAGCGCAAGCAAGCCAGCATCCATTGTTGGCAGCAGCTATCTGATGATCTGGCAATAGCTGCATGTAGTACAATGGTTTCCCTTCAGAACACTGTAGTCTGGTGGTTAAAGCACTGATGTGGGACTCGAGACGTAGGGTCTATTCCTAATTCTGCTGCTGGGTGACCTTAGGCAAATCATTTTTCTGTTCTGTGCCTCTGTTTCCCCACCTGTAAAATGGGGAGAATGATAGTGACTGCCTTTGTAAAGCACTTGAGATCTACTGATGAAAAATGCTATACAAGAGCTAGGTATTATTGTATATTAATCAGTTGTCTCATTTGATTGGGTTTCATTTTATGCTTATTTGCAGAGCCAAAAGGAACAGCATGGAGGAGAAGCTGAGGCCATTGGAAGAGGAAAGGGAATTGACTGCGCGGCTCTCACTTGCATGGTGCAGCTGGCACAGATCATTGTTGGAGGGGGCCTAGGGTTCTTGGTCAGTGCTGCAGGCAGTGTAATAGTGGTTGTGATTTGTGCATCTGCTGTAGCATTAACAGGCTGTTGCTTTGTTGCTTTTTTTGTTCGGTTTGTCGAATAGAACAGTGGATAGATGAAGGAAGAAATTCCCATGGGAACATTGTCATTCTTGATCTGTATCCATTGGGTGCAATTTCTACACTGATATTTTATAGCACCCTCTTCTTTCATTGGCTGGAGTGGTTAAAATTCCAGGGCATTATTTCTCCCCAGAGTGGAAATATGTGGTAACATTGGTGGCCTCGCTTCTCAAGCTGTAAGATCTCTCCATGACTTTCCTTCCTCTGCCCCAATTTTGTGTTAACATATAAGCCACTTTCATACATGGCAGAGTAATGCTCCTCATCATTAGTGGTAATGCTCATCGTTAGCCAAGCTGGAGAAGAGAAGAGCTGAAATGTGTGGCTAAAAGAATGTATCCAATAAGGATGAAAACTGGGGTTACTGATCCCAAACTCCAAGGATGGGGGTTCTTATTAAGATGGGGATTCTTAACCTGGGATCATGGTCCCAAGGAGGTGTCAAGGAGTCACACCCAGTGCTTAATTTGTGCCAGGGCTGAGCCCCGGCACCTCTAGACTTGGCAGTTCATAGCCCCAGCACCTCTAGGCTTACCACATCAGTTATTAAAATTAAAAAAGTTGCTTAAGCTCCGGCATCTAATTGCTTGAGCCTCAGAACCTTCATTACAGATTAAGCACTGGTCACAACCACTGTGTCCTTCCAATATTGCCAAATTGGACAGGGGCTCCGGCTAGATGAGGAGCAGAAGTTGTATGGAAAAGTGGATCCTGGTGTGGAAAAGATTGAGAAGTCCTGCTTTAAGGTATATCCCACTACTGGACAGCTTTATGTGGAATGTTGTGCTTATATAAATGTGAAGCAAAAACACAGAACAAGATTATCAAATAGGGGTGCCTAGAGATGGGCTCCTAAATCCATATTGAGGCACCTAAATAGGGAGTCAGTGGGAAACTGCTGGGAGTTGAGCACCTTTGAAAATCTAGCCACTTGTTTAAATGTCTAAACAAGATTTTAAAAAACCTTGGCCTAAAATTTGTGAGCCACCTAAAATGTTCAAGCTGAGTGGCATGGTACTTACCTTAACTGAATAAATTCAGACCTGTTTGCCCTACTCTTTTGCGCATAAGAGTCTAACTTGATCAAATTCTTGTTTTGCTTCTTTCACAGCATTCGACAGGATATTATTGTAACTTAATTCAGTTCCAGAAAGCATTACTGTAAATTGTTCCATATCCACACCTCAAACCAATATATTAAATCCTGTAGGCAAACCAGTCTACTTGTATTTGAGTACGGAGCTTGCATCTTTATTTACATTAAAACATCAGAATTTGTTACAGAGAACTTCTCCTGAATCATTCCATCTAGATTCAAGTCAGTTTCAAATTGGACCATAAAAGGGTTAAGATTTAAGATATCTGAATGAGCTATAGAGACCTGATTCTGTATTCCTTACTAACTGCAGTCAATGGGCGTTTGGGGTACTTAAGAAATACTGGACCAGACCTGTTATTAAGATGTATTCCTGGCTAAAATGTATCCAAAAGGAGCATTGAGCTGCTTGCTTCCAAAGTTAGGCATTTGTTTTTAAAGCAAAGTGTCTTTATTTGTGGTGTGCATCTTCTGTTCTGGTGCTGTTCCTATCCATGTCCCATGTTAAGTGCTAAGCCACATGAATCCCTCTGTTAATGCAATATTATTACACAATCCCACAGCAAGGGATTGTTGCCAGATATTTTTTCTAAAAAGTACGGTACGGTTCTGACCAACACCATTTAGTCAAATGTGTTATTGACTTCATCACACAGCGAAGTACCAGCAAACAGCATGAGGTGACAACCCTGTGCGTGTTGCTCAGTTTTTGATGTGAGTGCTCGGGTGCTTTTGTATTGACATGCCACCTTGATGCATTCTTTTATGTTTTTCGACTCTGCCAAACGTTTCCCATAATGTTATTAATCTCTCTTTCACTCTCCCTGTCATTGTGACGGGGTGTCCACCCCACACGAGGCCGAGCAGCTTGTTGGGCTGCACCTCGGAGACAGTCAAGGCCTGAAAAGCTAATTGATGGATCCCAGCTGGGCAGAAGAGGGCTGCAAGGAAAGTAGCATGCTGTCTCTCCCTGGGAAAAGGGAGGTGTGTCTGGAGCTATAGTGTCTGGCAAGAAGCCAAAGAAAGGAGTAATCTAGTTACTCCCTGGGAGGAGGGAGTTTGGGCCGGCAGACCCAGAGGAGGGGGCTAGAAGATAGAGAAGGGAAGAAGGAATGAATCTATGGAAATAGCAAGAGGGTTTGGGAGCAAGCAGCCTGGAGTTACTTGACAGAGGGTCCCTGAACTGGAACCCGGAGAAGGGGATGAGCCTGGGTTCCCTGCCAGTCACAGAGAAAGTATTGTAGGACCTGGCCTTGGAGCAGAAGACTGTCTAGAATGGCATGTGGGCAGCTGACTCAGTGGGACTTTGATACCCTGGAAAGGGAAGACTATACAGGGAGCTGGCCAGAGGGCTGAGACATGAAGAGGGAGAGCTGCGAGTCTGGAGAGCAAGGGGTGGGGGATGCAGTGTGAACAGTTGTTGGAAGGAGGGCATCTGACCTGAGTGAAGCTAATCCCCTGACCTAGCCACAGGGAAGCACCCAACAGTAAGCCCTTGGAGGTCAATTATCAAATGTGTTTCCTTGCTGACATTTGGGATTTCAGTGAAGACTCATACTGGCGAATTCCAGTCTCCATCCTTGGGCATCTGCATGGTGTACCTCCCCCCATCAACATTGTTCTCATCCCTTCTGACAGCACAGCTCAGGACAGACTCCCCTGTTGCATTGCTGCCTGTTAATCTCTCTCCCTTATTACCTCTGCTGTTTGACTATGAAGAGAGAGCACTAAATACCAGTGGAATCAGGCTCGGGGGCTCAAAGGGTGGCTTGTCAGCTCTGCAGCATGCTTTCCCCTCCGATGTGATCTCGCTGAAGCCCATTTACCAATACTATGTTGCATTTGAGCTCCCAGAGTCAGGGATTGGACAGAAACTAAAACACATCCCTTGCTTCTTTAAGACTCCAGAATAATATTCCTGCTGAAGCATCTCCTACAGAAAAAGGCATCCTCCCAAAAATACAAATATTCTGATTAGAAAAATGGAAATATTCCAGGTGTGTGCATCTTATGGAAAAAAACTTTTAAATGGCACCAAAACCAATCTTAAATATTACAGGTCCTAAGCAGGAAACAAAGGTTTGCTTCAGCGCTTTGAAAATGTCACAGATATTAAACATGTTCACTGTAGAACCATTCATTTCAAGGGTTCCACCAATTCTGTCCTTTTAATTTTATTTCAATGCATGGACCAAATTATAAATAGGATCAGTTATTGCATTTAATAGCAGACTGATGGGTGCTTTTAACTGAATAACATGGGCTATGAAGTCAGGAAGACATTGAACTTGGTACTGGTCATCCAGTTTTACCCTGGTATAAATAGGATCCAATATATACAGATCTGATGTGGAGTATAACCAAATAGAGTGAGAGTGTGTGTGTGTGTGTAGGTGTGTGTGTGTAGGCGTGTGTAGGCAGGCACCCTGTTCAGGTGTTTGTCTAACCCAGTTGTTCTCAACCCATGATCTGTGGGCTACTTGTGGCCCAATCATCACACAACTGCGACCCATGTGACATCCTCAGGGCCATACAGGTAGAATATGTATTTACACCTGAGGGAATTCTGTGCCACTGTGCATGTGCAGAATTCATGACCAGTGCAGAATTTTTTTTCCACAGAAAATACATTCTACCTGAGAAATGCTGCAGTTCTGCCTTTCACCCACTAGAGGCCTTTGTGGCACCAGAACAGCTAGCAACTGCCTGCATTCATCAGAGCACCCTGCCCATTGAGCCAGGTTAGAACAGACAGAATGGGGCACACGAGGCTGCTGGGGGTCACAGACTGGGGTTCAGAGTGGCTAGTTGGGGGGATAGACTAGGGCTTGGGCTCAGGAGCTAGTGGACTGACAGAATTGAACAGGGGCTGAATGGGAGGGGTGCTGCAGGGCCACATCGGGCATGGGGGAGGGAGCTGCAGGGACACATGGGGAAGAGGGGCAGATGTGTCCAACTGAATGGGAGAGGTTCGGGATCAGCAAGTGTCTGCATGGGGGAGGCTCCACAATTCCCTAACAATCCCCCCCCCCAAATGTCTGTTCTATACTGCTCCCACACACCCTCTAGGTTCACTTCCAGGCTCCTTTCCTCTCCCTCAGCTCCTTAGTTACTCCAACTCCCCCAAGCCTTTGCACTGCTTCTGAGGGGTGCAAGAAATACATTCCTGTATTGCAAAAAGAACAGGAGTACTTGTGGCACCTTAGCGACTAACAAATTTATTAGAGCATAAGCTTTCATGGGCTACAGTTCACTTCATCGGATGCATAGAATGGAACATATAGTAAGAAGATATATATATATATATACACACACACATACGGATAAGTTGGAAGTTGCCATACAAACTGAGAGAGGCTAATTAGTTAAGATGAGCTATTATCAGCAGGAGAAAAAAAACGTTTGAAGTGATAATCAAGATGGCCCATTTAGACGGTTGACAAGAAGGTGTGAGGATACTTAACTTTAGGGAAATAGATTCAATATGTGTAATGACCCAGCCACTCCCAGTCTCTATTCAAACCCAAGTTAATGGTATCTAGTTTGCATATTAATTCAAGCTCAGCAGTTTCTCGTTGGAGTCTGTTTTTGAAGCTTTTCTGTTGCGAAATTGACAGCCTTAAATCTTTTACTGAGTGGCCAGAGAGGTTGAAGTGTTCTCCTACTGGTTTTTGAATGTTATGATTCCTGATGTCGGATTTGTGTCCATTTATTCTTTTGCGTAGATACTGTCCGGTTTGGCCAATGTACATGGCAGAGGGGCATTGCTGGCACATGATGGCATATATCACATTGGTAGATGTGCAGGTGAACAAGCCCCTGATGGTGTGGCTGATGTGGTTAGGTCCTATGATGGTGTCCCTTGAATAGACATGTGGACAGAGTTTGCAACAGGGTTTGCTGCAAGGATAGGTTCCTGGGTTAGTGTTCTTGTTGTGTGGTGTGTAGTTGCTGGTGAGTATTTGCTTCAGGTTGGGGGGCTGTCTGTAAGTGAGGATTGGCCTATCTCCCAAGGTCTGTACTGTTACAGACATATTTGCTGACAGGTAGTTTGAAATAAATTACCAAAATAATTGAAGCTGGCATAATTGTATTTTGACAAATAAAATATGCAGAATTTTAAAATATTCTGGGCAGAATTGTTGTTTTTTTGCTGCAGAATTTTTATTCTTTTGCACAGAATTCCCCCCAGGAATAATATATAGTGTGGATGCATATGTGCCCCACAATGGTAAATAAGCTGAAAAGCACTGGTCTAACCTGTTACTGTAAACCTCCAATGATGGGAATTCCGTGATCTCTGTTGGCAACCTATTTCAGTACTTAACTATTCTTAGAAAGTTTTTCCTCACATCTAACCTAAATATCCTGTGCTGCAGATTAAGCCCATTACTTCTTGTCCTACCTTCAGTGGACATGGAAAACAATTGATCAGCATCCTCTTTATAGCAGCTCTGAACAGACAGTGTTTGAAGACTGTTATCAGGTCCTTCCCCCATCCCTCAGTCTTCTTTTCTCAACATGGGCTAAACATGTCCAGTCCTTTTCAAATTTGTCTTTGCAGCCATGTTATCTAAGCCTTTTATCATTTTTGTTGCTCTCCTCTGGACTCTCCAATTTGTTCACATCTTTCCTGAAGTGTGGCATCCAAAACTGGACACACTGCTACAGCTGAGGTCTCACCAGAGCCAACCAGAGTGGGACAATTACCTTCCAGGTCTTAGATACTACACTCCTGTTACTACATCCTGGAATGGTATTTGCCTTTTTTGCAACAGTAAAATATTGACTCATATTCAATTCGTGATCCACTATAACCTCCAGATCCTCTTCAGTAGTATTATCATCTAAACCAGTTATTCCCCATGTTGTATTTGTACACCTGATTTTTTTCTTCCCAAATTAAATACTTTATTGAATTTCATTGTTGATGTCAGACCAGTTCTTCATATAGCACTTTTTATCCTTAGACCTCAAAGCACTTTACCAAGGTCAGTATCATTATCCCCATTTTTCAGATGGAGAAACTGAGGCATAGAAAGGGGAAGGGAGTTACCCAAGGTCCCCCTGCAGACCAGTGGCAGAGCTAGGAATAGAACCCAGGTCTCCTTAGTCCTAGTGCCCAGCTTGATCCACTAGAATACAGTGCATGCTGTGATGAGCAACTACCCCAGCCTCAATGGGAATGGCGATGGCCTAAATGAATCAGTGCACAAAACAAGGGTTAGCCTTGTTAATTTTCTAGGCTGACCCTTCATCTCCTTTTTCTTTCCCTCAGGAAATACTATTTTATTTCCTGTTTCACAGACTAGCATGGGACTTAAATAAAAAAATGCAAAATAAGGATATTTATTTGCTTGCTTAGAAGTGCTTTACAGAATTAGTAATGTCATGCTCATCATCCCAATTTACATCCTATTTTTCATAATCCCATTTGGTTCCCTTGAAAACAAGCAACTCAAGCAGCTTGTGTGAAATGCTTTCTCCTTGATTAGATGTGCAGCTCAGGAAGCAAACAGAAAGTCTTGACTTTGGAAATGCTTGCAGAAAAATCACACTATCTCCCTAGCATTGATCCCTTCAGTCTTGTCAAAAGATGTTGGGAGAACAGTGGTTGTCAAGAGGAGACCTAGTGAGCGTATGCTTGGTGTTCCCTAACTATTGTAGGTGGCTAGCTCAGTGGAGGAAAAGGATGATGGCATTTGCTGTAAAACTACTTTGAGTGGCCTTTCTCAGTTTAAAGCTATCAAATACCACACACTTCTCCCCCCTAAGTTTCTGGAAATTTTCATTTCTCAGTACCTAACTGGTGCTTCTATGTGTACCCATGGAGCAAAAATTTTGAAACAGTCCTCCCAGCCTAAACTATTAAACTTTTCTTAACTCTGCAGCTCACTACAATGTAACCAGTATAGTACATAATTTTTTAGTTATTTTTATATGGATCTCCCTAATTTTTTCTTTAGGAGAATTAAATCCTCCCTCATATATTAACATCTCCCTTGTGTAGTAACTATATTGGTTCTACGCCCTTGTAGGGGCATTAAAACAAGTTAACATCTATGAAGAAAGGCACAGGTCTGCTCCCTGTGTGTCTTCAGAGTAATCAATGCTGCCTGTAGTGGGAAAAATAAATGCTTACGGCTTTCCACTTTTGTTAGCCTGGCAGAACTGACACAGATAGATCTGGTTTGTCACATTCAAGACAGGAGATCTTGTCTAAAAATTACCTTTTTGTGGGCACAATTATTTGTGAGCACAAGACTGTGCCTCTATAATGGGAGGCTGGGCTGTAGCTCTCTTAAAAATCAGGCGAATTCCTCCCACCCCAAAGCCTGAATGCTTGGTTGGTCTCCAGTGTCCAATGAAACAATACTTCTTAAGAATGTTGTGAATAGCTTCCCTTATCAGCTTCTAGCTTGATAAGTGTCCCACTCCCTTTTGTCCAATTCTGAAGGTTCACTATAAATATACATCATCCGAGTCAAGAAAACCATGTGCCCCTTTCCGGTTTTAGAGTTCTTTGGCTAGCATCTCATGGTATAAAGCTGCAAATATGCTCAGAAAAATCTCTTCTTCATATGTCTGAGACTTAAAAACCCAGTCACAAAGAGGAATTTTTGAGTTATCAGACACCAGAGATTTTAAAATAGTGCCTTTCCACTGGAAAGTAATAAACTAACCTTCCCGGCTGGCAAGCTGTCTTTCCCTATTTAGTGCCTCTGTCCTCTCTTTCACCTTCTATCCCCTAGCTAGCTTAAGATATTTTCCTGATATTTTGCCCAGGTAGCAGCTACGTATCACATTGGTCCTGAGTCTGCAATTGTTACTCCGGCAAAAGAAGTAGCTGGCTGAAGTTAGCATCGAGTACACAATAAGCTAAACGTACTTCTAGCAACTGAATGTTACTGATAAAAAAGTAAGACAGCAAGCCACATGCAGGGAACCCCCTAAACCTGTTCAAAGCCTCACTGAAGTCAATGCATTTCATGTGGGTGCAGGGATCTGCATTGACTTCATTGGGGTTGTACATGAGCACAGGGACCTCACTGCAGAGTCAGGGCCTAAGTTTTGAATTTCAGAAAAACATTCAGGGTATTGCCAAACTCAAGCATTCAAAAATCTTGAATCAGGTCTCAAAAAATCATGAGATTTGCTTAGAAATCATGTGAATTTTTTAAAAAAAAATATATTGTGGGTTCTTTTCATTTTCTGCTTTCTCAGCCTTTAGGGGAGTTATATTTTCATAATATTCTCCACAACCATCAGGGCTAATTTTGTGTGCGCATGTGTCTGAGATTCTCTTAACTCTAGGAGCTGGAGTTTTAAGAGAAACACCGAATAATGGGAGGCTTGCCGTAAAATCGCAAGAGTTGGCAACAATATGTTTAGAAAAGACATAATTGTCTCTGTAGTGGGGCGAGCACCCTGCTCCTGGGAGAAAGGGGTTAAAACCAGCTCTGGGAAAGGGCTGCCCCGAGGAGCCAATCGGGGAAGGCAGGTAGCAGCCAGTCTGGGCCCAGCAGGGCTTGTATAAAGAGGGCTGTGAGTTAGGAGGAAAGCAGTCTTACTCTAGCCTTGGGGTGGGAAGGACTGGGCAGCCTGGGAGCACAGGGTACCTTCAACAGAGCAGTGCCGGGGAAGGCTGAGCAGGGGAACTCCGGCCTGGTGACCTCCCAGGTTGAGGCCTGACAGGAAGGCCTAAGGAGGTACTGGGGCTGAAGGGAAAGTCCAACCCTCTAGCCAATGATGAGTGGCCATTGCAGACTGCAGTGTGCCCCTGCATCTGGGCTAGATGAAGACTGGCAGTGGGTCACTAAAGTGAGGTGGGCTCAGGGGAGTGGGGTTCCCTGGCTGAGGGGCAGCAGCCCAAGGTAAGGGGCACTGTGGTCTGGGAGGGATGTGGGGCCTATACATGATGGAGATAAAGGGACTGCAGAGGGGAGGCAACAGAGGGCGATACACCGGCCTGTAGAGGGTGCTCCAGGGCTGAGAGAGCTAATTCCCAGATGCCTAGCAGGAGGTGCCGCACCGGTGAGTCAGTGATCTGCTACAGTCCCCAGGAGAAAGCACTTACACCTTTCATAGTAGAACCACACTACATATCTGTAAAATGAGTTAGACCTTTCCCTTTATGATTCCATATCACCTGTGCTCAAATTCCAAGACTTGTTTTTCATAATGACAGCTCTGAAACCTAGGATCCAAGAGTCTAACTAGGTTCTTTTCTTATACGTAATCACCTGCCATATAGGGGCAACAGGGAAAATTAGGGCCTTACTTTGAGTTGTGGAATCCCTATTGCCTTCAGATTAGGAACTCACTGACAGCTGTACAACCCACATCTCCATCACTGAGTTTGCACTGGTGTCGCTGATTGGCACTTACTAAACAATTTTCTTGATGATGCAGAAGGAGAAATATAATCCCCGACTCCCTCTTAGCCTTGTCAGATCTGTGGGCCCTTATGTGTGATTCCAGCTATGAGGCTGCTTCCATATCCAGTCTGAGAAATGTGTGCATATATGTACATGTTTATGAATTTAAGAATCCATTTATTTTCTTGCTTTGAATGTTCTAAGGAACATATCTTCTTGCAGTTGAGACATTGGACAGTGGTTAGAGAAAAGCAACAAGATATTTAATGCATTTTTACCAGTGCCGAGTCAAGGGAACTATTTAATCCACCAACCAGTCTTTTCTTGTAGAACTTGTTTTACCAGCCACCTCTGACACCTTGTGTGATGTAGAGAACTCTGACAGTGGAATTTTCATTATAACCAGATTGTCAATAATCCCCTTGATCTGGATCAGTAACAAAATCTCTCTTTAAGATGGAGGGAAATATCTCTTAGTAAAAGCTTTAAATCTAAGGTCCCAATCCAGCAAATGGTTCCTTGTGGATCAACTCTGCACCCATTTGAATTTAGTGGAGCCCCAGTGGCTGTAGGAGTGTCTGCACAGGGAATTACTTGGAGGATCAAGGCCTAAAGGAGACAATAATGATGTAAGGAGTGGGGACAAGGGAACAACTAGATTTTTTTCCTGATGGAGAGAGTGCCAACACATACTTGTGTCTTTAATATCCTGGGACTGACATGGCTACGACGACAGTGCATACAACGCATACTAGGAGAAAGTTAAGTAATGTCACTACCAGAGAAATACTTCAAAGGGAAGGTAGGAAATAAAATCTGAGGTCTTGGTTGCTCTAAAGTTTTGGCTAGTTATGTGCAGCCAGACTATTTAAGCGTTTAAAGATACAGATATGTGCCTAGTGAGATTTCCAAAAGCACCTAAGCTAGCATTAAAATCAATGGGAGTTATACACCTAGGCATAAGAATGGCCATATTGGATCAGACCAATAGTCCATCTAGCTCAGTATCCTGTCTTCTGATAGTGGCCAATGCTTCAGAGAGAATAAACAGAGCAGGCAATCATTAAGCGATCCATCCCTGTCCTCCACTCCCAGCTTCTGGCAGACAGAGGCTAGGGACACTCAGAGCTTGAGGTTGCATTCCTGACCATCTTGGCTGAGTCATTGATAGACCTATCCTCCAGCAATGTACTTAATGCTTTTCTGAATCCTGTTATAGTTTTGGGCTTCACATTACCTGCCAATGAGTTCCACAGGTTGCCTGTCTGCTATGTGAAGAAGTACTTCCTTTTGCTTGTTTTTAATCTGCTGCCTATTAATTTCATTGCATGACCCCTGGTTCTTATATTATGTAGAGGAGTAAATATCACCTCTTTATTCACACCAGTCAAGATTTTATTGATCTCTTTCATATCTCCTCCTAGTCATCTCTTTTCCAAGCTGAAAAGTCCCAGTCTTTTTAATCTTTTCTCATACAGAAGTTGTTCCAGATCCCTAATCATTTTTGTTGTCCTCTGTACCTTCTCCAATTTTAACATACCTTTTTTGAGATGGAGTGACCAGAACGGCACACAATATTCCAGGTGTGGATGTACCATAGACTTGTATAGAGGGACTATGATATTTCTGGTCTTACTATCTATCCCTTTCCTAATGGTTCCTAACATTCTGTTAGCTTTTTGACTGCTGCTGCACATAGAGCTATATGAACATTTTACTTTGATTCAAAAGAGGATTTTTGTTATAAATCCAAACATGGGCATTTGGAGGAAACCAGTCAGCTCTGCATTCATGCAATTATTTGAAGAATGTTGCTCAAACAACCTAAGAAATAGCCCAAAGATGCTGTGCTGAAGATGTTTTTTCCCGTGTCGTGGAAGTTACAGATGGAATCCAGTCCCTCCTGAATCCAGTCCCTTTCACTACATATGCAGGATGATTCCCTACACATTCTAAAGTTTTGCCCTGCCTACAGTCCTAGTGATTGTACTCTTGGCACTTTCCTTGGGCAACAGTGTAATCTAGCTCACTGCTCTGAACAAAAACCAGATTATTCTGAGCAGCTTCTACCCCATACTTGCTGTTTTATTCACTTACCATAGCTGAGGTCCCCACTCAGTCATCTCCAGGATCTTTGAATCCTTCCTCATCAATTTGTTCCTCCAAATAATTTTTGTTTCTTTCTGAACACTGCCCTATGTCTCTATCGCCCTGCTCAGGATTATAAGGCTACAATAGGTCTCAGCTGTCTTGAGACAGAATAATGGTGCTTTGGTTCAAATGCCTGACCCAGTTACAGCCTGTGCACAGGAGCAAGTCTTAATTCTATCCTGGACTTCATAGGCATGTACAGCATAGAATCATAGATTCGGGTTGGAAGAGAGCATGGGGCCAAATCCTGAAGGACTCTGTACCTCCTTAAGGACAGAGTAAAATTCCCATTGAAGTCAATGCAAGGTTTTCTGGACAAAAATTGAAGGCCTCATGCTCTAATCTGTGTCCATAATGGAGGAAAATTGCGCCCCCCCATGCCATTTTATGTAATACTCTCGCTCCCCTCCCCCTTTCCACCCACTTCAGTGTCACAGGAGTGAATTTCAGAGGGAATGTTTGCTGTAGGCTAAGCCCAAAGGTGAACAACAAACACTTGGGTCCTGGCCTAAACTGCTGTGCAGTGTCTGGGGCATCCAATTTACAATTGTGTTAATTAGCTCAAGTTAATAACTAATAACAGCTTGAGTTACAACAGGAGCAAAACCTCTAGACCAGAAGAATCCATAGAGAGAAGGAAATTTTACCACTCTCATTTGCTCCTTCCCACCCCCACAGTACTCCTCTGTGCGCTCCCCTTGCACTTCCAGCTTCATGAGTTGTAGAGGTCAGACCAGCGGCAGAAGGGGGCTCCTCCAGATTCTCTCCTCCAAACCCACAGCAGAAAGAAATGCAAAGTAATTCTGCCTGACCTTGTGCTTTAGTCTCTCCCCTTTTCCCCCCTTAGCCCCGTGGAACTCCTTTTCTTCTAGGTTCCAAAGGCTGCTGTGTAGGGGGAGCACCTAGAAGCATAGATCCTACAGGAGCTGGTGTGGGGCCAAGCATAGAATGGAGGCAACAACATCTGCATCCTGTCTTCTGTGAATCTCCTGAGATCAATGTGGATCTCATGGTCATGCTAAAGGAGTGGACCCCTCCATCCAGCAGAGGGACAAACCTGTCCCCCCAGATGAACGGATGAGTAGGAAACTCCACAAGCTGAAACTCCTGGAACTGGTCTTGTCCCTGTCATCCCCACCCATCATTCTCACATGGGTTAGCATGTATGAATTGTGACCAGAGGCATGTAATGATCTCTTGTGGCACATCTTATATACAGAGCCCAATGGAGGGAAGCATCTTTGGAAATCTAAAATCCACAGCAGCAGATATGAACAAAAATGGACACATGGAAACACTGCCAAGTACCTCTATATTCATATTTGTCTGTATTTGGGGAAAAAACCAGATGTCTCATTTTATGATAACCCTCTTTCCATTCCACTAGTGTCTCTGGAGGATATTAAACAGAAAATACTAGAAGCAAACATTTTGAAATCAGCAGGTCCAGATAACTTGCATCCGAAAGTTTTAAAAGTGCTGCCTGAGGTGCTTGCTGCACCGTTAATGTTGATTTTCAAGAAGACTTGGAGCCCTGGGGAAATTCTAGAAGACTACAGGAAAGGTAATGTGCCCATTTTTAAAAAGGTAAATGGGATAACCGAGATAATTATAAGCCTGTCAGCTTGATATTGATCCTGGGCAAGATAATGGGGCAGCTGGTAGGAGACTTGATTAACACCAAATTAAAGGAGGGTAAAGTAATTAATGCAAATCAACAGGGGTTTATGAAAATAGATCTTGTCAAACTAAGTTGATATGTTTTCTTAGCCCTATGCTAGTTAACATTTGTATCAATTACCAGGAAGAAAACATAAAATTGTCACCGATAAAGTTTGCAGATGACAGAAAATGTGGGGGAGTGGTCGGTAATGAAGAGGACAGGTCACTGATACAGAGTGATCAGGATTGCTTGGTAAATTGGGTGCAAGCAATGTGGTTTAATATGGTTAAGTGTAAATGTATACATCTAGGAACAAAGAATGTAGGCCATACTTACAGAATTGGGGACTCTATCCTGGCAAGCAGTGACTCTGAAAAAGATTTTGGGGTCAGGGTGGATAATCAGCTGACCATGACTTTTCCCAATGTGACGCTGTGGACAAAAAAGTTAATGCAAACCTGAGATGAATAAACAGGGGAAGCTTGAGCAGGAGTAGAGAGGCTCTTTTACCTTTGTATTTGGCACTGTTGTGACCACAGCTGGAATATTGTATACGGTTCTGGTACCCACAATTCAAGAAATAGATTGATAAATGGGAGAGGATTCAGAAAAGCAGCACAAGAATGATTAAAGGAGTAGAAAACATGCCTTATAGCGTGGTTCTCAACCAGGGGTATGTGAGTAAGCAGAGGTCTTCCAGGGGGTACATCAATTCATCTAGATATTTGCTAGTTTTATAATAGACTACATAAAAAGTACTAGTGAAGTCAGTACAAGCTAAAATTTCATACAGACGACTTGTTTATACTGCTCTATGTACTATACACTGGTTTCAGAGTAGCAGCCGTGTTAGTCTGTATTCACAAAAAGAAAAGGAATGCATCCGATGAAGTGAGCTGTAGCTCAAGAAAGCTTATGCTCAGATAAATTGGTTAGTCTCTAAGGTGCCACAAGTACTCCTTTTCTTTACACTATACACTGAAATGTAAGTACAATATTTATATTCCAATTGATGTATTTTCTAATTGTATGGTAAAAATGAGAAAGTAAACAATTATTCAGTAATAGTGTGCTGTGACACTTTTATGTCTGATTTTGTAAGCAAGTAGTTTTTAAGTGAAGTGAAACTTGGGATATGCATGACAAATCAGACTCCTGAAAGGGGTACAGTAGTTTGGAAAGGTTGAGAACCACTGCCTTACAGTAATAGACTCAAGCAGTTCAATCTACTTAGCTTAGCAAAGAGAAGATAAATGGGTGGCTTGGCTGACTGCATCCTCTAAGTATCTACCTGGGGAACAATGATTGGATAATGGGCTTTTGAATCTAGCAGAGAAAGTTGTAACACAATCTGAGGGCTGGAAATTTTGAAGCTAGACAAATTCAGACCGGAAAGATGGTGTACATTTTTAACAGTGCGGTTAATTAACCATTGGAACAATTTATCAGGGTTCATGGCTGATTCATCATCAGTGACAATCTTTAAATCAAGATTGGATGTTTCTCTAACAGATGTGTTCTAGGAATGATTTTGGGAAAGTTCTATGCTCTACAGGAGGTCAGACCAGATGGTCACAAAGGTGCCTTCTGGTCTTGGGCTCTGAATATTCAGCCCCTTTAAAATTGGCAGTGCAGTGGTTTCATTCCTTCTAAGCAATGGTCAGTTACAGATACAGTACCCCATTAACCACAAATGATCTACAACAGTGGCTGATGGTTGGACATAACATTTCACCGCTAGGGCAAAGTTTCTAGTTACAGGTAATAAAATAGAAAAAGCCGCTTCCCCTATTCAGCAGCCCCCAGTTCCCAAACATCAGTTACTCCTGTTCTTGTTTATCAAGGAGAATCATTTTGCTTTGGCAACAGGCTAAGAGAGGATGAAGTGCTGCAGTGAACGCCCCACAAACAGCCTTTTCTCTGGAGCTGTGCTAGAGCCAGAGCTACAGTTGCATTTACTGCATTTACGGTGGTGAGTTGTGCTTGGTGCCTCAGTTCAGTGCTAGGAGAGGGCAAACAAAGCCAGGTCCCCCCCAACCTGGGCTCTGTGGTGGCAGGGGGAAAGTCCTGGCTTGCTTCCCACACACCTCAGCCACCTCCTCTGCGCCTGGGAGATTGCAGTGAGGAGGCAAGGGACACCCCGACGGTGCCTGGACATGGCACCGCTCCAGCTGCAGTCTCACCACCCAGCGCTCCCACAACCTCCTCATACGAAGTCCGCAAGCGCCCTCCACTTCCCAGGCGTCCTCGTCCCCCATTTAGCCCACCCGGCCCCTCCATGCACAGTAGCCTGGCCACATGGAGCCTCAGTCTCCATGGACACCCCGAAGGCTGGGCCTCTTGGCAAAGCTGAGGGGAGAGCTGCAATTTCATCCCCCATGGACCCTCCCTTCCCCCCACTTCTCCTAAGGCCAGAACACACAGCCACTCCTCCACCGCTGGGACGGTCCCCAGAGCCCATCCCCCCCAGACACCCGCTCCACCGCTGGGACGGTCCCCAGAGCCCATAACCCACGGACAGCCGCTCCACCGCTCCCCGGGCTGGGACACTCCCTGGAGCCCATCCCCCTGGGCATTGCCCCCAGCCTCCCACTCCCTCGCTCCCAGGCGCCCCCGCGGCTCAGCAGCGCTGCTCGGCGGAGCTGCTGGGCAGCGGGTCCCAGCGGGCGCTGCACACCACCACGCCGGGCGGGTAGTAGAGGAGCTCGGGCTGGGGGGCGGCGGGGGGCAGCGGGCTGGCGGGCACCAGGGCGCGCAGCGCCTGCTCCTCGGGCTCGGGCTTGGTGGTGGCGGTGAAGGGGCGCGTGGCGGTGAGCGAGGGCGAGGCCAGGCGGCGCAGCAGGCGGCGCAGGGCGGCGCGGAACTCGCGGCGCAGCAGGCAGTAGAGCAGCGGGTTGAGGCAGCTGTTGCAGTGCGCCAGGCACACGCTGACGGGGAAGAGGTAGGCCTGCGAGAGGAAGTACTGAGGGCTGAAGGGCACCACGTTGAGCTTGACCAGGATGCCCCAGGCGGTGAGCGCCTGGTTGGGCAGCCAGCAGAGGAAGAAGGAGAGCACCACCACCGTCACCGAGCGGGTCACCTGGGCCCGCCGCCTGGGCCCGCCGCAGGCGCGGCCCACGTGGCGCTCGCCCAGGAAGCGCAGCAGCAGCAGGTAGCAGAGGCTGATGACCGCCAGCGGCACCAGGAAGCCCAGCAGCACTTTCTGGGCCTGGTAGAGGCCCAGCCAGAACTGGGCGCTGTTGCCCCGGCCCTCGGGGAACTTGACCAGGCAGAGCTCCTCGCCGAAGACGGTGGCGGTGGTGGAGAAGACGGCGTGGGGCAGGGAGGCCAGCATGGCCGCGCCCCAGATGAGGAGGCACAGCCACTTGGCCGAGCGGCACCCCGGGCCGCCCCGCCGGCGGCTCAGCGCCGAGGCCACGGAGTGGTAGCGGGCCACGCTCATGGCGGTGAGGAAGAAGACGCTGGCGTACATGTTCATGGCCGTCACGTAGGAGACGATCTTGCACATGGCCTTGCCGAAGAGCCAGGTGAAGTCCAGGGCGTTCTCCACCGCCCAGAAGGGCAGCGTCAGCACGAACTGGAAGTCGGTGAGCGCCAGGCTGGTGACGAAGAGGTCGATGGAGGATTTCTTCCAGCCCTGCTTGCTCTTCATCAGGTAGAGCACCAGCAGGTTGCCCACCAGCCCCAGGGCGCACACCACCGAGTAGACGCTGGAGATGAGGATGCGCAGGACGGCGGAGCTGTCCCCCTGCAGCCCCTCGGCTCGCTCCAGGTTGACGCTCCTGAAAAGCTCCTGCAGGGAGTCGTTGGTCCAGTTGCCGAACTGCCCGGCCAGGGACGCTCCCTCCAGGCTGAGGGCGAGCGGGCAGTAACTGGGCTCGCAGGGGGCGGCCATCCCATGGCAAGGGGAGGCTGGAGGGAGCCGGTCTCTCTCCTCCCACCCAGGGGCTGCGATCAGGAGCTACGCTCCGGTGGCGGGCACGGGGTCCCCCTCGCCCGCAAAGCACATGCTCAGCGCCTAGTCCAGCCCGGGACGCGGCAGCTCAGGCAGCGACGAAGCCCAGCGCGGCGGCTGCCGCTCCAGGTGCCCAGCGCAGGCGGCACCCGCAGGGAGGCGCTGGCAGGCGGGGCGCCCCTTCCCGTGCCCGCGCCCGCGGTGGGGCACATCAGGCTGAGCAGAACAAGCCCAGACCCGCCGGGAGCGGGCGGCGCTGCCCCGGCCGGCAGGGAGACTCCAGCACGGCGGGGCTGGGGTGGGACAAGAGGCCGCCTCTCGCTGGTGCAGTGAAGGTCTCCGTCCTGGAGGCGCCCACCTGTGCTCCGCTGCTGCTGCCTCTCTAGGAACCTCTCTCCTCCCCGCGGCTCCCAGCCCTCACTGCCTCCTCCCGTCGGCTCGCCCGGGTTATATTCCCCTTGTGCCCCCGCTTGAGCGGGCTGAGGTGCGTGCGCAGCGGCCGGAGCTCTCCGAGGTCCTTACGGGGGCCAACCCCGGCGGTGGCCAGTGCCCGCTCTCCCAACCTGCCTCCCAGCCAGCTCGCGTCAGCGGCTGCCGAGTTCTGCGGGGCACCCGAAGGCGCGAGCAGCTCGCACTCCCCCGTAGCACGCGGTTCTGCCCCGCAGCGCGCTCTCAGCTCCCCTTCCTGGAGAATCTCCCCCCGGACTGTCTTTTCCCCAGCCCTGGAATGTCATATGTTGGGATTAGCTGCGTTTAAATGGTATCTGAGATTCTGAAGAGGAAGATCGTGTGAAGTGCAGCCCCTCCCCACTTTAAAAAGCCCTCCACTTCTATCCCCCAAACTTTAAAGCGCACCGATCTTTTCTATTTATCCTAAAGTAGAAAATGTAATGGGAAGTGGAAACCATCCCACACTTCCTTTCTCGACACAGATTTTAAATGTATAGTGAAATGTATCTTGGTTTAATGAAACTGGTAAGAAGCCCCTCCTGTGTGCATCAAAACTTTTTTAAAAAATCTGTAGTACAATTGCACATTTGCATTTAGTTTAAACAAGCACAGAGCTTGTTTATCATTCAACTTGTCTGTGCCAAAAACTGATGTACATCTCTATTATTTTGTTCTCTTGTGTAACTAATTCTGTTCATAATGAGGTACAATATTTATTTCCAGTGTTATTTTGTTTGCATATTTTACACCCACCTTAAGACATTTCAATCTACCAGAGTCCTTAAATTCTCATGGGTTTAGACAATGCAATTTAATGAAAAGCTTTGCAAATGTTTTGGATTATTAACAAACCAACCTGTCATTATCCAATGTTCCCATAATGCCTGGATTCCTTGGAGGGATGTGGTATTACGTTTTGCTTAGCTACAGAATGAATCTAAAATTATTTGATCTTTCTTCCCCTCTTCCTTTTTTTTTGTGAGCAAGCAATACAACTCGAAAAGTCTCAGAATTATTTTTCTATAATGAAAGGTAAATATGTTAAAACCACAGATTAATATTAAATGACTACAAATCTTTGTCTCCTTAAAAATAAAGGTTGAATGTAGTGGTGATCCTTATCTCTTAATTTGAAATGAGTTATATGAAAACAGTAAAGATGAACATTAGATACTAGGTCCTTGTAAGGTGGAAAGAATGCAGTAGAGGATTGCTAAGGGAAATTGGACAGGGTAGGTGGTCCTGGCTTTGGGTCCTATTCTCCCACTGAAGTCCATCGGACATTTGCCGTTGACGTCAAAAAGCGCAGACCCTTTGATAGAATATCCTTATGAATATTTTAACATTCGCCACTAGAGGGCTCTGGGGTTTCAGGGGAAAATAATGCATAACAAAATAAGGGTGTAGAGAAAAACAGCAGCCACAGACAAATCTTCTTACAGACACCAAGTGTTGACAAGAAGTTTACCTTTGACCAGAGCCCTTGAACTGAATAAAACTCTCATGTCCATATTTCATTGTTGTAGTCCCTGGGAGGTTGGGGAAAAGTTTAAGAGGAAGTAGCATCTGGTGTCACGCTTGAGCAACCTCCCCTTTTTATGTCAAATTTTCTCCCTACAAAACACAAATCAAACCACATCTCCGCCCCTCACTGCTAGTACTGCAGTCTCCCCCCGGTATTGGAAACCCAGCTCTGTTCTTTCTGTTTCATATGTCATCAGGAACAATAAAACATTCTGGAAAATAACTAAGCTGGCCATTTTGTTTGTGAATTGATATTGCACATGAGGCAGAATAAAATACAGCATTTTCTGCTGCAAGGGTTCATTGTCTCTGTTGTTTTTAAGATAGTAAAATATTTTTGTCAACAAACTAGGCAAAAGATACGTTGAAAGTATGTGTGGGGGGCAAGAGGGGGTTAGGAACCGGGTCTGAAAATGTTGAGTTATTTTTCTGACCACAATCCATTCTAAATCAAACATCTGAAGAGCACCAGAGCAACTTAAACAAGTCAAGTATTATCCCCATGGTCTGTAAACCGGTGTGATCTGATTTACTTTTCTACACAGACATTTCTGTACCTTCTTACACTCTGCCCCTTAGCCATGGAATGTCTTTTCCTAACTGAAGCTTACTTAAGACCCACTTCTGCACTGGTTTCTGTAAAAAATAAAAAATAAGCCAATTAATAAAGGGTCAAGAGGTATATAAGGATAACTGTCAGTGCTTTTAGAATCTTATTTTAAAAGTTTACAAGTGGGCATATGTGTATAAAATAGTATATATTGTGTCTCTGGCCACCCTTGGTGTACTGCCTGTCTTCTTAGGCCCTAACCCTGAAAGTGATAGCATGCAGGCAGACTGCAGCACCTGCATAGATTCAGTGGGGCTCTCTGTAGGTGCAATAGTCTGCCTGTACACTCTGAGTTGAAGAATAGGGGCCTTAGCATACAAATTCTCGAGGGACAGTGGCTGTGTCTTCATCTATGTACGGTGCCTAATATAATGTGGTTCCAATCGGTATTGGTGTGTCTGGGCACTACTAAAATGCAAATACTCTATAATAAGATGCATTGGTATATGTTTCCCATCATTTAGGAACATCGGATTTCCACTAACAGATTACGCAAATGATGCATCCGATTTTCTCTCCATCTGGCGTGATTGTTTAGACTGAGACATGGACAGTCAGACCTAGTGGTCAGAGCAGGCGTCGGGCTAAGTCAGGTACTAGGAGGTCAGAGTCCAAGATAGGTCAGAAGGCACAATCAGGAGGCAGGTGGAGTCAGGTTACTGGTAGGTCAGAGTCCAAGATAGACCAGAGGGCAAACTGAGAGTCAAGGGTCAGGAGGCAGGCAGTGTCAGATTACCAGGAGATTGGGGTTGGGCACCAGGTTACAGACAGTAATCAAATAGCGAAGTAGAGGACAAACCAGGGTTGGAAGCTGGCGTCTACGGTCTGTCGCAAGCAGGGTCTGGAGCAGAGATGGGCAGATAGTCTGTGTTACTCAGATAGCTCCTCTTCACGGCTTCCTGGTTTAAGTACTGGTACCAGCCAAGCAGTGGGCTATGAGGGGCTGCCACTCAGGTCCTGCAGGGTGGTACTTCCTGCCAAGCCCAACCTCACAGGGTCCTCCTGCGGGAGCCTAGCCAAACCCTCCTGTGGTGATGCAGAGGTGTCAGAACACCCATGCTCCCGGGTTCCAGCGCTGCAGGTTCTAACATAGTCAAAATCTCTCTGTAATGTACTTGGTCAATTATTCACTGCTGTATATTGGGGAAAATTCTTTCCTGACATCTGTGGTACTATTCTGACATTGTCAAACATGATGTTTTATTATCTTGCCTTAGCATTGGCCAAATGTTATTTCCTACAAAATTATCCAGCACCCTTTAAACTCAGTTACCGTGTTTGACCCTTTGACCTTCTAGAGTAGAGAATTCCACAGTCTGAGGACATGCCCTGTAAAGAAGTGTTTCCTTTTATTTCTTTTACATCTCTTCACCCTCTCCCATGGTCAGTGGAATGGGGCTACATCCAGGTAATATTCTTCATGATTAAAAACTTAATTTGCATCTTTTAGTCAGAAGAATCCCAAAGTACTTCACCGACTAGGCACCAACAAATGAAGCCATTTCTGGGGTAAAAGCCAGTAGATGTTTAACAGTGTTTCAAAGTATCGTAGGACAGGAAAAGAAGAAGGCTACCTTCTATAGTGGAAACTGAAGAAGAACATTATATAGGGAAGGTGGAAATGCCTAGGTCTGAATATGGCCAGCGCAAGTCTGATCTTGTGAAAAGTCAAGGTTTCCTTTCTGGCAGTGCAAATCCTTTAGTCCTGTATTCAGGGCATTGTTTCAGAGTGTATTCATAATGCTAGCCAGTCAAATAAGGCATGTGGGAGTTGCGCCAACTGAATATGAGTGAAAGCATCTCTTGGCAGCGCTGCCATTTCTGCGTGTAAGGATGGCTGGTTACACAGACTTTATGTTTGTCCTCCGTACAGGTTTCACCCCGACAGACTTCCTGTAGCCTCGGGTACTTCTGTCTTCTTCTTTCATCTCTTTTTGACCTTGGAGAAGCATTTTTAGAGCTAGCGAAAGGAATATGCTAGAGTTGGAAGAATAATTAAAAAAATGAATAATTTATTTGAAAGTAGTGAATGAATTATTTGTAAATACATTAATCAGCCCATTTCTATACCTGGGGGAAATTTTGTTAAAAAATCATCACATTTAATTAAAAAAAATGGCAAAATTCATCAGATAAATTATTTCCTGATTATTATTCTAACCTGTCCAGAAGACACTACTGTTCATTTACTCTTCACATGCAGTAATGCAATTCAAAACCTTTCAGAACATGTAACTTTTTTTTTGTAGTGCTTCTTTTTCATCAGCATAGCCGTGTAGTTTGTAGTAACTTGTGCATAACCAGTCTAGTCTATTTTGTACTTGTCAGGCTGAGTGAAGATCAGACATATGTAAACTTCTCTTTTCAATAATTAAAGATGCCACTGCCCCCAATCCTGCAAACAAGCTTAATTTGATACATGTAAATAGTCCCATAAATGTTCCGGTGCATAACAATTTGCAGAATCCAGGGTCTGAAACAGTGCAAGCCCACTGACATGCAGGGAACGTTGCAAAGCGTATCTATGTACTAAGGTTTTTGGAAAGGGAGGCTTGTTTGAGGGTGCAGAATTTTGTAGGGGTCTTTCAGCTAGTGCGGCAAGGTAAGCAGCTGGTTTTATTATTTAGCTCCCAAACCTAAGTCCAAGGTACCTAGAGTTTTAAGGACTGTGCTTTTCGGTCCATAATTTTATAAAGCTAAAGTAATAAAATAATCTCTGGACTACCCCATTCAGTTAC